CTCCAGTGCGTTCGCTCTCTTTGCAGCTCGCGGGTGCTGCTTCTGGAGCTTTCGCCTCATATATCGGTCCGCTCGTCCGCAGATGCGGCGAGTTGGTGGGGGCCTGCGTGCGTGTGTTGGCGTGGTTTTGCGAGGCCACATGCGAAGCCTACCCCACCACCCCACGGTTTCTGTCTGTGTGTGTGTTGGGAGGTGGGGTTCACACTTCGTTCGGGACATCCCGAATGAAAGGACCCCCCCCTCAGGAATTGTCGGGTGGTGGGGCAGGGTGCGCCTGTGGCCTCCTGTGGCTCAGTCCAGAATCCTCCTCCGCCACGGGCGTGCGCCGGTCGGCCCCCCCCCCCCCCTGGCCGACGGCGAGGGCGCGCGGGCCGGACCAGGCCCGCCCCTGCCTGGTGCTCGCTCGCGCCTCCTCCCGCCGCGGCCAGGCCACCAGAAAGGAGGCGGGCGCGCGGCACCGGGGCGGAGGTGTGCAGAGGAGGGGGATAAAGGATCGGAGGGGGAGGGAGGGAGGGAGGGCGGCGGGAGGAAGGGAGCACGATGGCCATGGCCGAGATGTCGCGGGATCTTGTCGACGTCATGGTCCGCGCTGGCCGTTGCCAGTTCGCGAGGATGGTCCACCTTCTGACGACGACCAGGATGGACGATGACCCAGACCGATACCGACGTTTCCGCGCTTAGTCTTGGTCATGGTCCTCGTTTTCTTTCCTTGAAGGGTCGGGAGGGGAACGAGGGAATGGGGGGAAGGACAATCAGGAGGAGGAGGAGGAGGAGGAGGAGGAGGAGGAGGAGGAGGAGGACGAGGAGGAGCAGGAGCAGGAGGGAGGAGGAGGAGGAGGAGGAGGAGGAGGAGGAGGAGGAGGAGGCGGAGGAGGAGGAGTCAGGTTTGCCAGGTCGGACGAGTCAGTTGGCCCCGCCAGTTTCCACCCCTTTTCCCCGCATCATAAGAATCCATAGTTGCACAGCGTGGTCTTGGGAACGGAGCTCGTTCCCACCCAGCGAACGGAAGGCGCTTGTGCGCAGTCCTGCGTCTGACTGCTTGGCGAAGTGGAGCAAACAGGCGGGGGGCGCACGGGCCAGAGCATAACTTTAGAACATCCCTGCGCCACGCTGCGGCGAGATCATGAGAGGAAGGCCGAGGATCGAGAATCGGGGAGGGAGGGAGGAGCGCGGCGGGAGGGAGGGAGGACAGGAGGAGGATCGAGGATCGGGGAGGGAGGAATGAGGGCGGCGGGAGGGATTGATGAAGGGAGTAGGATCGAGGATCGGGGAGGGAGGAAGGAGGGCGGCGGGAGGGATGGAGGAAGGGGATAAGGGAGTAGGATCGAGGATCGGGGAGGGAATGAGGAGGGCGGCGGGAGGAAGGGAGGAGGATCGAGAATCGCGGAGGGTGGCCGGAGGAAGAGGCCGCTGGCCTGGACGCGGCCCGCTTCCTCGCAGCCCCCCGACGGAGCTGTGGAGGGGCGGGCTAAGATGGCGGGCTGCGGCTCCGGCTGCTGCCGCGTCGTGGACTTCGGTTGGCCGTTGGACGAGGACGCGCAATGAGGGCGAGGATCAGAGGAGTAAAGGTACTCCTGCCGCTACCTTTGCCTCGTTTTCTCCTTGTCGGGCCTCCTGGGAGGCCCTCGTCGCCACTGCTGGATTCGCCTCGAAACTCTGGTCAGAACGCACCCTGGGAGAGGTCTGGGAAATAACGGTATCCGTACCTGTTGGATTCCCCAGAGAAGAAGGAGGACGATGAGGATGATAATGAGGATGAGGATGAGGATGATGATGATGATGATGCTGCTGATGATGATGATGATGATGATGATGATGGTGGTGGTGGTGGTGATGATGATGATGATGTTGCTGCTGCTGATGACTATGATAGGATGATGATGCTAATGCTGATGCTGATGCTGATGCCGATGCTGATGCTGTTGATGATGATGATGATGATGGTGATGATGATGGTGTCGGTGATGCTGGTGATTGTGATGGTGATGATGATGATGATGCTGATGATGATGCTGATGATGATGGTGATGCTGATGGGGATGAGGATGGTGATGATGATGATGGTGATGATGACGATGACGATGATGCGGATGACGATGATGCTGATGCTGCTGATGATGATGATGCTGATGAGCATGATGATGCTGCTGCTGATGATGATGATGATGATGCTGATGCTGATGATGATGATGATGATGATGATGATGATGATGATGATGATGATGATGATGATGATGATGCTGATGCTGATGCTGATGCTGATGCTGGTGTTGCTGCTGCTGCTGCTGAGGAGGAGGAGGAGGAGGAGGAGGAGGAGGAGGAGGACCAGACTATTTTCGCGTTTGGAGGCCCTGTGAGGGGTGTTTGTGGTGTTCTCTTGCCCCGACTTATGTTTCGGTCTCAGGAAGACCATCGCAAACCCACGAAGCGCAAACGAGTGTGCAATCCGCCCACCCGTCCCCGGTCCCCTCCGCATGAAACCCGATGCGGGAAAGACATC